TCCACATGCCATTTCTTCTGTCATATATCAAATTAGCTTTTTTCGCTCATAGTGTCTAAGCGTATTTCGTGTTTACATGCTCTATCTCTCTTTAATATCTTGTTGCGTGTCCCTAGCATAGTCCATGGGCATATCTTCCTTACATTTTTCATTTTTCATACACACGCAAGACTCCTTTAATAAAGACACTCGGATTAAATTGAATTCATCCGTGTGAACGTGTGCCATTGTCTTAAAAATTTTCTTGTCTCTAGGTATATTATTAACATAGTCGCTGGATTCGGGCAGCGATTCCAGATAAAGGCAACAGCGATCGATTTCTAAGATATGCCAGTTTTGACCATTACAAATTCGAAAAAGATACTGGATATTCTCCTCCGCGTGTAAATCTCCAAAAGCAAAAAATGGCCACGAATGCCGCTCGAGCGCAAGGATTCGTCTCTCTTTTACCGCTCCAAGACCAACGTGTTCGTGTTTTTTTACATTCGAAAATTTATACGAAGCTTAAATTCTGCTTGTATACGGTATCTCCTTATCAAAGTATGCCCAATAATAATGTTTTTCTTTTTATAAAATCGCCAACATCTTAAGCTTTTTATCAATGCTGTCGATCCATCCTTCTCTCCGATGTGTACTAAAGATGACGTATAAGGAGAGAGATATGAGTCACGGGAGCAAGAAATAATGAAGTGGCTCAGGAGGCCCACCACATTCAATATCCCATGACTAATCGACACTCATCGTTAATTAGGGACGCGTATGCTTTGCTGGTCGTTATTGGAGTGAGTGCGATGAATAGAGAATGAAGCATCGATGCCGTATATGTATAATGGTCATATAATACGGCCCGCAAAAGGCTTTTACGCATATTTTGGAGAATTTTGATTTAGGGAGTCTCATAATGGGCATTAATAGCACCGCTGGCTAAGCTAAATCTTGGCGAAGCTTAGCGCGGAAAACGAGAAGCCGCGAGGCATTCCGGCGAATAAATTCTCGAGTGAGAGTGGACGCGCGCCTGCGCCACGGCAAGGGGCTTTTTATGGAAGTTTATAATTTTGGGGATCTACCTCTTGGCGATTTGGATGCTGCGCAGAACTCGGAGCGCCCGAAGGCATAAAATCCAGGCTTAAATACAGATTTATTCAAAAATTAGTACTTTTATACCCCGTCGCGCCACTCGAGCCCCGCCCAGCTGAATTATTAGGCTCTAAAGTGCCTTTAAGTTTCGTATTTACTGTATTACTATGCAACCGAATTTCGGCTTTTTCTCAGTGCAGTATTGGGGAGGGGATACGGCAGTCGTTAAAATACTAAAACCCTCGTCGAATTAAGGAAAGGGAAAAGATCCATCACCATCACCACCACCCCCCGCCCAATGTGTAAGGAAATCGGTGGTGTTGCATTTTTGACAATTGTAAAAACGAGAAAAATAAATCGTGCACTCTTTCGATTCGAAAATTCATTCTCGCGATGCTTGAGACGTGTAAGCAATGAATATCTGCATAATAAACCATGAAGTCGCGTGGCCACGCATCTAGATGAAGAGGTGGGAGGGCCGTCACAACGTCTCCGAAGCAATACCTAACGAGATGGCGAAATCATGCCTCTCTCTCTCTCTCTCTCTCTCTCTCTATCTATCTATCTATCTATCTATCTATCTATCTATCTATCTATCTATCTATCTCAATCTCCCTCGGACATAAAGGAAAGAGAAAATAGTGTCGTCACTTGACGAAAATGGGAAACGATCGTATAAGTCTGTTTCTGCGTTTGCGAAGAAACGCAGTAATGGTGTCGGGGGTGGGGAGGAAGGGGCGGAGGGAGAAGCCACGCGAGGTAATAATCGACGTAATGAGAATAAAGCCTCACGAGTAGACCCACTCGACAATTACGGTTTTTATTGATGTCTTATCGCGCGACGAGGATATAAAGTGTAAAAAGGAGTCGCGAGCATCGAAAGCAAAATCAGCTCCGACTAGTTCTACCTTCACTTCTGGAAGTTGTAAATTGCCCGGGTAATCATGCGGATGCTCGATGCATCGCGTGCGCATCCGAAGCCGATAAAATGTCGGGAAAACTCGGCCGAAAAGGCAAGTATCCCGATGGGGAACTGTGGGGGCTTGCCTTCGCGAAGCGTGGGTGCGTAACCGTAAATACAACTGGATGTTGTAATTGGGAAATACGGCCAGCACAGCACTCGATTTAATACGACTAGCTGTTGCAGCGCCCTCACCCCCTGCCGTTCCCTTTACTCTAATTAACATTAATAAAGCTGTAGCTACCGTTGCGAAGGAATGATCGTGGCGTTGATGTTTTTCCGCGCGCTCGAAGTCAGTTACGGAGCACTTGCGAAACAAACGATTCTCGGGTGCGTTGCGCTCGAAACAATGGTGGAAAAATTTCCTGCAAAATTCAATCAGGCTCGCAAAGTAAAAAAAAGCAATAAAATTTAATTAATGAGCTCTCGATACATTTTCCATACTGAAAGCGCTGACGATAATAGCCACGTTGATCGTGTGTCGATCGACAAGTTGATTGCTCACTTTAAGTGCAATAACGACCCACGATGCCGCGACTATATAGTTGGTAATTGAATATTGATACTGAACTCACCTATTAATAATAAGTACACATATACAATCATAGCATAATAAAATATATGAAATGAAAATTAACAAGAGCCTGTTATTATCATTTATTTTTCTAGGCTTTTTTCTACCCTCACTCTACCCGACCGCCACTACGTCGTCCCATGCCCCTCTATTCTTGTTATCTCAATTCGAATCCGTGCAAATTCACTGATTCGCTATTTACTTTATTACTCTTTACATTTACTCGGCTATAAGCACGTCAGTGCAAATGAGCAAAACTATAGTCGCATAACGAGACGCCTATATTTTGAAAAGTTCCTCTAATCGAATGATTGAGTTACCTATTAGTTTTACACATTTCAAAAAAAAATTACTCATTACTGTCTTTCGAAAGCTTTTTGTCAATCATGTCATTTAAAGCTAATCATTCGCTCGAGCATTTAAATGGTCGAAGGCTCCTAATAGTATATATATATATATATATATATATATATATATACATATACATTTCCGAGTAATTTATAATGATGAGAATTTTGAGTTTATAACTACGATTCGTCAATGAACAGTCGGCTAATTATTCTTGTAAACCCACACCTATGCATTGATGCATACGTGGTTCTGTATATATATATATATATACTTATGTCTAGGAGGCTTATAGGTTAAGATATACGATGAAGTCCTACCTGCTAAATATACTGGAAAAGTATAACGGTAAAATGGATTAATTTTACAACTCCGTTCGTGCGTCCTCTTCCAGTCGAAATCTCAAACGTATGCTGTCATAATCTTTTGATTGTAATCTCCAGTTGGTATAAAGCTAACGAATTTTTGTAATCCTTCGAGTTAAAAACCTGTCCCTCGATCGTTCTTTCCCCTCAAAATTTTCCCGCTGTTTATTCATAAAAACTTCAGTCCTATTTTCGAATTGGAATCTAAAATTGAAATGGAAACACAACACATTTCCATATCATTAAACCACTTATATGAAATGCAACATCATTATAATTATTAATTTAATTGAGAAAGACAAGATATCATTCCGGATCAGTCATGCAAGAATCGGCATTTAGTCGCACCTATAACAATATAGTACCAATTTCTTATTAAATTTAAATATTCTATATATAATATCTTTCAATCTCTCTCTCTCTCTCTCTCTCTCTCTCTCTCTCTCTTTCTCTCTTTCCCGCGAATATGGCACACGATATTACACATTCAAGCTATAAAATTTCTAATAAGCATAAATAATAGGCTTTAGTCTGATATGGGAACGAATTTTTACTTCAACGACTACAATAACATGTATAATGCGTTCTAGAATTGACAGAATTTTTTTTTTTTAATATAATTCAAAGCATGGAAATATTCTATATTTATAGGCTTATTTATTTTTCATCAAATCCATGAAAATTATGACGCTTCTATAATTAACTTGCATTCCTGTGGGCAAATACATACAGTTTTACTGTATATTGCATTACGAATTATGAACAAAATTATATTTTTATAACACATGATATATATGGTTATGTGTGTGCCCGTGCGCGCATTCGTGTATGTATGTATATAGTTTTTAAAACGATTTGTTGTAATCATTAACTAGATGACGCATGTAAGATCCAAGAATGATTGATAAATTGCATAAGATTTTCAGCTAAAAATAAAATATCAGTATCTTCATTATGAATAACAACGGAAATTGTATTGAGATTATTATAATACGATTAATGATATTAATTGAGAAAATAATATAATCAAGAAAATCGCTAATAAAGTTTGCTGCGCCCGTGAGCTTCTGTCAACAGGATCGAAGCCTCTTAGGTGCAAGAACACATATAAAGATAAATAACTTGTTGATTCTGATAGAATGTTGTGGTTTGGGGATCAGCTTACTGCGGACGAACGTCCGAGGTAACCGAAAATTGCATCGAAGTAGACTCGGAATTCACTAATTATTAATTCTCTACGTACGGGTCTTATGAATAAAATTCGTAAATTGCAAATAGCAACCATGGCCATCGGTATATCATGATCGGTATACAATGATCTCTCTTGGACTCTCTTAAATATATTACAATATAAATAAGCATTCAATGAAAATTTGCAATTACTCGGGTAGCGATTATCCTCGTGTCGTATATTATATGAACGAATGCATTAAGAAATAAAAGGGAAAAATTCGCCGTCTCTTTGACTTTGAATGATGAATTATGTATAATTGTGTCCGTGCGCGTGGTGTGTATGCGGTGTGTGTGCAGGCGCGGGTGTGTGTTGGAGATAAATATAATGTAAGATAAAACGCATATGGGAAACGAACGTGTGTTTGATAAAAGACTCGGTCCTGCCAGGGACTTTGATGCGCATTAATCGCATCCGTGTAATGAATTCAAATTTCGCTTTCAGGTTCAGAGGCTCGCTGAGTACGAGAGGTATCTGGGACAGGAAGCGAGGAATTTAGTGTCGGCGGAGAACGGAAATGGCGTCGGAAGCGGCGCGGTGCTCCAACGCGGGCAACTCGAGGGTGACCTCCACCGCATCCAGGAACTTTTCCCCAACGACAACCTGCGTCTCCACGAGCAAGACGTCCTCACCACGGTAATTGTGTGCCCTTAGAGGGCAGATTTTATTGCGCTAGTGCAGACGCGAGTCAACTCGAGCGAATCCCGGCAACGCCTCGACAGACCAACCTTCAACAAAAAGTGACAAAAGATATTAACGCCCTTTATGAGGCAGCAATCGGTACTGGTCCAGGACTTGGATTGACTCCTTGATTAATGATGATTGATGCTTATCGTCTCGGCTATTCTGATAATTCCGTTGAAGCTTATAAAACTAGTTGGCGATGCTAATTGTACGTTATACAAGCAATTTCGCTTTATTAAGTCGATGCTGTATAATAAAATTATCTCCTTACAACGAAATCAGCGGTCGCGGACATATTGCGCGCGCGTACTATGCACGCGCTCCCAACATCAATCATATCTCGTCGGAACATTTATAGCTTCGGCTACGGTTTTAGATAGATAATAACTTCGTGGAACCTCGTGGAAGTACGGTCGCGTTTATCAAAGGCACCAGCCGAGTGTCGTCAAGATTCGCAAACTCCGCGAACAATCGATCACCCTTGCACGCCTTCATCGCGATTTATACGAAGGCGGCCCTTGCTGCCCGTGCGCTGGCGGCAATTCTAAATGACTAAATCGTAAATAAAGTTGAATAAAGGCACGATAAGGTCGTAGCACGTCATTATGAAAGGATGTCTCTGAAATTACAGCTGACGAGCGAAGCAGAGTAAAGTAAAGTGAATCGCGAGTGCCCGAGAGGAGTGGAGCGGAGAAGAGCGGGGTCGAGGTGTCGGTTGCTCGCCAATCTACGCACATTGCGCTATTGTTCCAGGTACGAGGCACGCGATCGCGTTTTTGCAAGGAACGACGCGTCCTACGAGTCTATTGTCAAGAGCACGTATTACGACGAGTGGCCGGAAGGGTTGGAGGACGAACGGCCAAACGTACGCCGTGTCGTGCGAGGGTTGCGGTGCGGAATAGGGGGAATGGGGCCGCGATGGGGATGAAGCATGCGGTCGGAATACGCGCGAGCAAGGGGAGTGGGGATTGGTGAAGGGGACGGGAGGACTTCAGAAAACACGGTGAGAAGAGGTGAGAGAGAATAATGAGGGGAGGGTTGAGTAGGAGAGGAGCTGGGGTTGGAGGAAAAAATAGGAGAACCAGGGAAATAAGGAGCGAGGGGACGTAATGAAAGCCGGGGAGAGGAAAGCCATTCGAGAGTATGTATACTGGTCGTGTATCGGAATTGAAAATGAAGCTCCAAGCGGCGCGGAGAGCCCGATCGTATAATCCCATTCTCCGAAGGGACTAGACGGCCGTGAAAAAAAGGACTAACGAGTGAGGAGGGAAGAAATGAAAGAAAGAATGCGCGAAATAAATCAAGGCACAAAGAGAAAGAGCGAGGAGAGGCGATTGGGGGGAGTTGGTTGAGGGTAGAGGTAGGAGGTGGTGTGGAAGGATGAGAAGGGGTGAAGAGAATGAGCTGGGGGGGGGGGGGTAGTCGGGGAGGGGCGCGTCGAGAGTAGCGCGGAAGCTACTTGGGCTCGTGTCACTTCGTCGGCTCGTTATTGGTTGGCGGTGGTCGCGCGCGGATAATGACGACACGAGAAAGAAAGAGCCGGTGGGACCGGGACCTGGGGGAGGGGGGGAGATAGTGCGAGCCTGTCGCCGAGCACGCGCAGACGCGATGGCTATTTCTATAGATTTCGATCCCTAGCCGGCGATCGAACCTCTCCGTAGCTTATTCGCGTTGATTCGCGGTAAATCGCCAAGCGGCAGTGGCGGCAGCCTCGTAAATTCAGCCGAGAACGAGGAGCTTCGAGAACAAAAGCAATGCAAACATAAACTCGCGAGCATTTACATATATCGCAGGCGTAAGAATTTCATTTGTCTCCGGTAGCTGCGCTCCCTGTAACTTTTGATGAATTTCCAACTTTCCCTTTCGGCGATTCTCGCCTGTAGTGTACATGCATACGTGTGTGTGTACGCGTTCGTGCGTGCGTGCGTGCGTGCGTGCGTGCGTGCGTGCGTGCGCGCGTGCTCTTATACCCAAACAAAGAAGCATACACTATCATTGTGATCCACCCAACATGGCAGCCAACGGTCGTTCTAAAACGGCATTTCGATATGTGCTCCGCTTCCCTCTCTCGTTCCGCCTATGCTCGGACAATCCCTATTTTCTTCGACAAAAATCGCAGGCATCAGCGTCGTAGTTGAGAATTACGCATTGCCAGGTAATATAGCGTCCTTCCACGCAGGAAGCGCGCTTATTGTAACTGATCAGAGCCACGTAGCGTGAGCCATTTGTGTATGCGCGGCTAATCGGTCAGGCGTATAACGATTTTCCGCCTCGTAGAATCCTCGTAGCCGATGCCGCTTTCACCTAGCCACCTCGATCTTTCAAATATCCTCGCGTCGCTCTTTCATCATCGTCGTCGTCGTCGTCGTCATCGTCAACGAGGGGCTCTAGTGACCTACCCGCTGTACGCCAGGTGCAATGAGCCATTATAATGAATTAAACGATTATAATGAATAAAACACATTGGCATATAATATCTAGCAGTAGCGAGTGAAGAGATGTACGATCGAAGCTTACCTCGACGCTTCCCATTAATTGCATCCTTCTTCCAGAAGCCGAAGAATGTAGTCCGAAAAAGGAGCGGAACGAATTCCGGACGACTTCCGAGGGCGCTATCGCAAAAGTCCCTCAGCGTTGCCAATAATTTGTCGCTTCCAAAATCGCCAGCCCGGATCTTCCTGCTCGAGACACCCGTTCAATTCACAACGGTAAGTGCAAGTTTGGATATGAACGCATAGTTAATTTTTAGAATGTTTCATCGAGACATTATTGCCACGAACAAGTGACATAAATTTAACAAGACTCGCCCTAAATCTTACCCGCCTTTTACGTAACGAGCACGTCTTGGCAGCGGCTTATTTTAGCATAAGCACAATATTAACAATAGCCAGTCGCCAACAAAATGATTGTTACAGTTTTCGCGTGTTATTGAGTCTCGAGTGTGACACTTATTCCCAAACGATGAGTAATTGCTTATCATTGTGAATAGTTTCGATCATATATATCCGGTCACCTGCCGTGTAAACTTAAAGGCCAACTTAAAGGGTAATGAAGCATTAAATATGTTGAGAGTTTTGTGAAAGATGAGGCCGGGACTCGGACGGGGGGTGGGAGGGACAAGGAAGGAGCGATATTCAACGTGGCACGTGAGGACGAGACCCGGATAATAAATGTGCAGGGATTTGAAAGGATTCCCGGAAGGCGGTGGATTATATAAAGGGTAGGGAGCTCGCGAGGGCATCTCTCACACATTCTCCTGTACGTTTTCAGGGAATGCAGTCCCAAGAGAGACACCTCTTCCTCTTCTCTGATCTGCTGCTGATCGCGAAGGCGCGCAGCGGCGGTACCTTCAAGCTGAAGCAATCCGTCAGGATGAGCGAGCTCTGGCTGACGGCTAACCACATCGAGGACGTCGCCGAGACGAACAAGTCGCAGGAAACGAGCTTCGTCCTCGGCTGGCCGACGACGAACGTCGTCGCTACCTTCATGTAAGTTTTATATAAGCAAGGGCAACGCGCATAGCTAGCTCGCTTCGAATTTTCCCGATACACACACACACACACACACACACACACACACACACACATATATATATATATATATATATATATATATATACATACATACATACATACATACACACATACACACGCACAGACGCACAAAACAATATATATACATATATTCTGAATCAGCTAATGAGGATGAAGCAGCAATGGGAAGAGCCGCGAGACATCCCCGGAAGTCTGCAAGCTTTTCCTGGTAATCGACGACAATTTACGGCCCAGTCGAATGGTCGTTCTGTCATTATATTGTACCTTATAGTAAATCTGACCTTTTCTACTCTTCTTTTTATTAAGTATTGATAAAATTTCGCGAAGAGAAGGGGGGGGGGGTCGAATGAAATGTTGGTTGGTCGATTATACGATCAGGGCCCAATATGCATTGTATAGTTCATTTAGTCAAGAGAAAAGGTGTCCGTGGATATTAAAAGTCCATAACACTAATAATAAATAATAATAATTCTATCCGAACAACAACGTACTCGACCCTCTGCGAGTTCTATTTGCACTGCTGTACCAATTTCTGACTTATGTAACATCAAAGCTGCGACAAAATTAAAATATCCGAAATGAATTGGCTGCTGTAGGGAACAAGTAAGTAGCGTTGGTTGCTAAAGCTTCTAAGAATCGACTCGTTGCTTACAGGACCGCAGCCGCAAGAGATCTCTGGTGGGGTCGACTCAGTGAGCTCGTAAGGGAGGAGAGTCTGAAGGAGCCACCCGAGACGAATATTCAAGTCGTGTATCACGACAACGAGACCAACACGGAATATGTAAGTGCAGCCTCGTCCTCCTCCTATTTCTCGTTTTTATTCGAATTCTTATTGGCCGCTCCGTTGCCACGTTCTTATGTAGGCTATAATAGCCAGTCATGGCTTTGTCATGATCTAGATTTCCATATTGCATTCTCTTTAACTCCTCGCATGAAAATTTCTCAATTGAAACGTTCGAGCGTGGAGCTATTGTACGAGGTCGAAAAAATTATAATCCCTCCGCTATCAAGGATATCGAGGATATTTTTCATTCTAACCTCACGTCAATGATACGATGCGATCGAACGAGTACGGTAACGCATAATGCACAGATGATCTAAACTTCAGATTACAAATGCGCCGACGAATAACGTCGCGAAGATGGGAGGGGGGCTTGCTTTTGTCAATCTGATATTTGAATGTTTTCCAAAAGGTCAATGACAATGATACCGAGAAAATTACCATCTAATTACTTATGCGATATGATTTCTCGCGTCAGTGCAAGCATTAACGCTCGTGTTATCAAAATAAAATAATTCGTGTGGCAGAGTAAGATAGAAGAAACTCCACGAAAAGTAAACTTAGATTATAATATAATATTATCTATACGTAGAGAGACAGATAGAGAGATAGAGAGAAAGAGAGAGAGAGAGAGAGAGAGAGAGAGAGAAGAGAGACAAAGAGTATATAGGCAAGATAAAGTAGGAATAAAAACACGTTAAGGTACCAAATAAAGAGTCTCCACCTCTGCTACGGTAGGGCAAGAGTTTTATGTGTCAAAACAAGCATGATACTCGAATGATACCCGTTCGTCGGTACTCGGCATTTGCATCATCAAACAGCCTTGAATAGCCTACGCCCATCGTCAAATGGACTGTCAGATGACCACATGTACGCGTGTATGTATGTTATCATAGTCCATCAAGACGCTCGCTTCCCGAGCTTCTCTACTCGTAAATTCTAAATCAAATGCACGAGTATTAGGAATATTTCGTAACGGTGATTATGAAATAACAGATGATTGGAGGAGTAGCTCCGATCCCGAGATCTACTGATCTTACGATATGAAGACCGGGACCCCCCCCCCACACCTCCCTAAAATAACGCACGACTTCCATATAATTAATCTCGAGCCGGTACTGCATTCCACCAGGCGAGAGACACGAGGAGTAAAATTATTGATTGCCCGCACAGTGTAAGAAGATATCCGTGAGCTCGGAAATGACAGCGGCAGCCTGCGTGAATTTGGCAACGAGGCTGCTCGACCTCCAAGGGCCGTTTCAATTATGGGCGAGGACGTCTTCGGAGGAAGCGCCCTATCCCCTCATCGGCCACGAGAGACCCTTCGCTGTCAAGCTCTCGAACCTCCGGCACAAGCTCTCTCTCGAAGAAGGCTTTGACCTCGAACACTGCAACAAGAGCGGCCACGACACCTGCCACTTTATCTTGAGGCCGATCCTCAAATCGCCCGCGAAGAAGAACAAATCCAAGATCACGGGCCTGTTGCGAAGGTCCCTCTCCCTCAACCCAAGCATCTTCGGAGTGAATTTGTCAAGGCTCGACGAGAACGGCCTACCCAAGCCGGTACTCGTCATGTTGCAGCAGCTCTTTGCCAAGGGTCCCTTCACTCAGGGAATCTTCCGCAAGTCGGCCAACGTGAGGATCGTGCGGGAGTTGAGGGACCAAATAGAATCAACGGGCGACCCCAGCTGCCTCGAGGACGCTCCCATCATCGCGGTGGCCGCTCTGCTCAAGGACTTCCTGAGGTCCCTGCCCGATCCACTGCTGACCTCCCATCTTTTTCCACTCTGGATGGCCAGTCTCGATTCCGCCGATCCCATACAAACGATCAAAAGGTAACTATGAAATTGAAAGGCAATGCGAAGCCGATGTCAGTCGATATTGACAACGTAACACCTCAATAGCTTCCCCCATCTTCCCGACACATCTTCCCACCTCTACCTGTCTTTCACCTCCCCTATCTCATCAACCCAACACCCGTTCAGCCCCACTCCAATCATCATCAATTTCCACTCAAATTTGGCTAATAAGCATCTAGCTCGCTCGTCGTGAAATTAGCCATAATCGCCGAGCTATGGCCTACCTTGACACGAATATTCCTATCGCGTTTCAGCATTCTCGATCGACTGCCAAAGGCCAATTACACATTGCTGTCACACTTGGTCTGCGTGCTCCATCACATAGCCAGGAGATCGAAACATAATCTCATGTGCGCGAGCAACCTCGGCGTCTGCTGCGGCCCCAGTCTGCTCTGGTCACAGAACCCCTCCGTCAATCAAAGTCGAGCCATCCCCGCACTCACGGAGATGCTCATTCGACACTGCGAGGCGCTATTCGGCGAAGGGATCGTGCAGCTCTTTGGCGAGGAGCGTAGCGACAGCGGTGCCGAGGAAAGCACCGATAGTCTACACTGTGAGTCACCCATTCGATTTACCAATTCCCTTGGCAAGTCAGCCCCTACCTGGGGGACACTAAACGAGTCCTCGCCTATTGCTGTAGCAGGTGGACTCTCTTTGGACAGCCTGGACCTTACCGAGCCACCGCGCAAAGATCACATGTCATTGTCGAGAGACTCCGGGCTCACGCTCTCGGATTGTCAGCTTTTTATACCGGAATCGCCAGTTGGCTCCGAGGACTCGGCCGTCAATGCCTCGACCTCGAGCTTCGACAAGTCCATAGCGAAGGACGAGAAGCCCGGCAACGCCAAGGCCTACATTCGGCCCTACAACCATCATTGGGAGGAGAGATATGCCGCGGGTGGCGGGCACGTGCAAAACGGAATCGATCACGTTTATCCGAATCCGAATTTCCAAAGACAGGACTGGCTGAGGGCGCAGCTCAAGCGAACGCCGCGCACGAAGCTGGATGAACACGAGCAGCATCAACATCATCATCAGCATCAGCAGCAGCAACAGCAACAGCAGCAACAGCAGCAGCAACAGCAACAACAACAGCAACAACAGCAACAACAGCAACAGCAGCAGCATCAAAAGCAACAGCAACAGCAACAGCAGCATCAACAGCAGCAGCAGCAACAGCAATTACAGCAGCAGCAACAGCAACAGCAACAGCAGCAGCAGCAACAGCGGAAGCAGGAGCGTTTCGATGATAAGGACATGTACGGTCGCGAGTACAGGCGACAAGAGGGTGCAAAGGAGAGCACCGAGGGCCGCAAAGAGGTGTACAGGCCGACTCAGCAGGACCCGCGGCTACTTGAGGCCACGGAAGCCAATCCCGGTGATGCTCCCTTATCCAGTGGCGAGCGCTACGAGTTGAAGAAGGAGCGCTTCGGCGAGTTCAAAAAGGTCAAGTCGGAACTGTACGTGAATCGCGAGTCGCCGATCTCGCAGAGCGGCAGCTACCATTCGGGCACGGACTGCCACGAGTTCAAGAAAGTGCGGAGCGAACTGTACATAAATAAGGAGAACCGGAACGGGGCCTTCGAGTTCGAGAAGCCCGAGGGCGGTATCTATGGGAATCGCGACGCCGTCGCCGACATTTACGGCTCCCTTGGAAACCGAGACAGGAGCGACATCTACCAATTCAAGCAGGCCGAGACAATCGACGTGTACGACGAGGAGGACGAGGGCTCGCACGAAGGAACGTGGCCGGACACGCCGCCGCCTCTGCCGCCGCGGCTCAGGCACTTGCCGCCCGTGCACATGAACCTAGAGGACAGGCACAAGGTCGCGGGTAGGTCAAGATCGTTGCCGCCACCGCCGCCTTACCGGCCGCCACCGCAACCTCGTGCGCCCATCGCCTCGAGGCATTTGGGCTACGCGAGATCTGTCGTTGACGACGAGAGCTACGTTTGATTGAGAGCGAATACCAGCGACGCGTCGAACGAGAGAGACAGGGATAGAGAGAGAGAGAGAGAGAGAGAGAGAGAGAGAGAAAGTGAGAGTGAAAGAGATGTAGGCAGAGAGTAGCTCTCGTTTGATGGCGAAAGAAACTGCTCACGAGTCGGGAGATAAGAGAGAGACAGAGACTAAAAGTATACAATGCCAAGTATATGGAGTCTGCTTATCTGTAACTGACCTATACCTAGTCGAAAACGCAAGCTCGGGGCAAAAGAGGCATTAGAGGACGACGATAATCAGGATCAACTATTGGAGACGAATCTTATTTTTCCGACCGAGAAATCTCGTCCTCGTTGAGTGGGCGGCCTAAATACACATTAGCCCGATTTTACGAGGAAATTGGGCTAATCTGGCGAGCGTATTATATAAAAATGATTTAGTGAGAGACACGATCATTTGTTGTTGTAAAAATCAAGGCAGCATTAATTGTACTTGATGTTATTTGTTATATAGTGATTCAGGGTGCTTCCATAGCATTAGACGAGAACGGTTTACCCCCTTTTATAAAATTGACATTTAAAGATCACGAGATAATATAATTAAAGTATACAGACTGACAAGACTCGGAATGAGACGAAGTTTATCGTAATTACTTTATTTTACTCCACGTTACGTTTACAATACACTACATTTACAATACATTACATTTACAATACGTTGCATTATAATACATTACATAACATTACATAATATTACATTACATTGCATTACATTACATTACATTAAATTACATTACATTACATTACTTTACTTTACTCTACTTTACTTTACTTTACTTTACGTAACGATAACAATATAGAGCTATAAAATCGTGTATATTATAAGATTGAGCATCATGCGATACGTATATGAAGATAAAATTGTCATTATTATTGACAAACATGTTTTTACTTCAAGAATTTAATTGTCATGGAAAATGTTTATAATGAAGTTTCGAAGCGCAAGATCATGTGGTGGCAATACCAACGACTTTATAAATTTGCCAGCATGAACTATTTAGTAATACAAACTATACATTAGTTAATAAATACATAGATTTGTGAATTTAAAAAAAAAAAAAATTCATGATGATTTTCTCGATCTTATATAGCTGATATTTTTTAGTTTTAAGTCTATTAAAGCGTATGTTACTATAAAATCCTATGAATGCAAGTTTAAGCCAGATAGATTAACTTATAGTGAGTAAGATATACAAGTAAATAATGTTTAATTTTTCAAATTCTTGTAAATATTATCTTTTATATCGTTGAAGTTTGTAAACTCATACACATCGTTATACAGCGCAAATAAATAAATAAATAAATATATATATATATATATATATATATATATATATACTTATCTAAATTATATGACATTAATATCAAAATATAAATATATTTCGTATTTTATATATGATCATCTTTGAACATTATTATTTATTATGGCGTGAGCAATCCTTCAATACATACAACCATATTATTTTCCAATAATTTTGATTTTTAACCAATACTATAAGAATTTTTACATCGCAATGCATATTTGGAAATGCAACGCAGTGGACACTAATCCATATTAGAATTAATTTATAATTACGGTGCGCGCGTTTGTGTGCGTGTGTGCGCGCATCGGGCCGTGTGCCTGCACATATATATGCATATAATAATTTTGGTGTGAAATTAAAATAATTTAGAATATTGCCTATTTGATTAATATGAATTTAGCCAAAAATTCTGACATCTCGATTCATTATATTCGTGATATTTACAAGACATGGATTGGCAAGTGATATATGAAAAGGTTATACAATATTCATTTTTCATACTGTTTCATATTTCAATAAAAATGATGTTCTATTCCGAAGATCTGACCAGTATCCAGTTAGATAAGCCATCATTGAGAAATTTAAAGGTATCATTTAATCGTCATTTAACGTTTAATCATGATATTTTATTTTATTAATTTAACCAAAGAGTTAGGTTAAAAATTGCACTGAATTAAAGTTATCGTAATATTTTCTGTAGTCGGAAGAAGAATTCAAAAGGCATACGATAGATAACAACTTTGAGGGAGTTCCCGTAGAAAGAGAATTGCACATTTTTATGTAAGTGTAGTGAATAATTATGAATCGATATCCACATACATGCCTTTCTGTAATCTCCGAATCTTTTGAAAACTGGAAGAATTAATATTTATTCAACCTCGTTTGCAATTGAAATTATTAGTAAATGTTTATGTTTGTTTGTTATTATTATTTTTTTTTTATATATTATTATTATTTGTTTTTTTATATATTATTATTATTTGTTTTTTTATAATTAACAAACCTCGTGTATGAATTCAAAGCTTACATTTTATCTTGAATCGTTACGTTTTATTTCGATGTAATTCTTAAACTCTACAGCCATTAAATTCCAATTATTTATGCCACAATTGTTTTTTAAATTATTAAATAGTTTGAGGAAAATTACCCTTTGCAAAATGATAATGCAGTTTCTCGTGTAATATACTTAGTCTATTAAAAATTGTTTTCCCTAGAAAATCTGTGAATCTGTGAATTCTTTCCAAGTCCATTCCATCCAATACTTTAATACAAAATTGTCAAATGATTCTTGATTGAGCCATATTTGATTGGAACTAACATTGAATCTACGTACACTCATAATGTAAAAAATTATTCGTGTAATTTCGATATCGTGCACTAACAGATTATTATATAAAAGATACTTTAATTGACATACTTTTAAAAATTGCTAAATATTATTATAAAATCTTGTTGGATTAGACTTGACTAAAAGTGAAAAATCTCACATATTCACGAATTCTTCATATATTTAAAATACACACCTATTACATCACTGCATGCATGCGCGTATGTTTAAACTTTTTTCCATTTCTTCCTGCTTTGTATATATATATGGAGAGAGAGAGAGAGAGAGAGAGAGAGAGAGAGAGAGAGAGAGGGAGGGAGAGAATGAATGAAGAAAAATAATAGGAGTCGCAAAAACGTAAAAGTAAGACATTCGATAAGTTTTAACGAGTGAAAAGCGAATATAAGATCAATTGTTTGAATGAGGCGTAGTGAAAAAATAATGAGTTGCTCTAGTATGTGGGTGTGTGGGTGTGTTTAGTTAGACAATATTAAAAACACTGGTATGTATTAATTGATAATTCGATCGCCTATTCACGAAACACGAAACCGCAATTCCTACCTTGCTCAGCAATTGTCAGGATATCGCGCGAGTTATTATTTGAAAAAGGCTGGCAAGAAAGAGAGTTTATTTAAAGGCACCCGATGGTAGGCCAAATGAACTCCG